AAAGATCTAGTTTGACTTGACTCCATTAGCAATAATTTTTTGCTCTCTCTCATCCAAGTACTCTGAAATCCAGTTTACTAATTTTTTTTTTAACAATCTACCTATATAATTTGCTGAGATAATCTTCAGTGTGACACCTTGTCAATAACATTTTGAAAATCTAAGTATACCAAATTCATGCTCTTTCCATCATCTAAATAACAAGTGATATCCTTTAAAAAGTTGACAAATTAGTAAGGCAAGATTTAATTATTAGTGAATCCATTTTGGCTTTTGTTTATGATGTGTTTCACTTGTGAAGGTGGATCATATTGTAGCTACCTTGCTACAGTAGCTTCTAGAGACAAAACTACATAGTGGTCAGTTTGGATCATACCATGTGACAAGTTGTATGGAGAAAAATATCATATCATACCTTCATGAGTATAAGATATGAATAGGCAGTAAACATATTTATATCTCATTTTAAAATGTCGCCTTAGTGTTGTTATGTTTGAAATGAAGAAACATTAATTGTGTAAATGAATAAAAAGTTTTTCTTAAAATAAAGTTATGTGATTGATAAGTTGCTTCAGTTATTTCTGTAACAATGAAGATTTGTTAATAGTTTTCCATGAAGCACTGTTATTCCAAAATACATCAGAGTTTTTCTATATTTCTAAACTGTTTCATAGAAAATGTGTATTTTGGTTAGTTCAGTCTATATCAGTTGCTTCAAATGTATCAAAACATGATTTCACATATATTTTATGAGATTTGATATTATTGTTATCAGTAACAAATGCATGGCCTAATGGTTAGGATGCTCGACTTACAATATGTGAGTTACATGTTCAAATCTGTCACAAAACATGTTGCCCTTTTAGCTGTGGGAGCATTATCATGTAACAGTCAATCCCACTACTTGAGTGAAGTAGCCCAAGAGTTGATGGTAGATGGTGTTGACTTGCTGCTATTTCTCTAATCTGTCACTTCTAGATTAGGGACAGCAAGTACAAATAGCCCTCAAGTAGTTTTGCACAAAATTCACAAAATAAATAAGTAACAGACCCAAAAGCAATTTTCATGAAAAATGTGTTTGATGTTTTCAGGAATGTTATGTATCAACTTTTATCTGTTTAAACAGATAACATAAGTATTATTTTCTTTGTTATGGTGTTTACACCTTTTACAAGTCGGCGAAGAATGATTACAATTACATTTGTCATAAGATGTTACAATTAGGCCTAATACCTTTTTAAACACTTCATTCTTAATCTAGTCCATTAGGGAGTTTCAAGAATTAGAAGAGTGTATAATAATACTAGCATTCCAACAATACTATATTTATCACATCCATTGCTGATGATGTGTTTTGCTCAGTCCAGAGCTTTTCAAGCCGGATGGGGTACAACAAACACAGCAGTGGTTGGAACACTATTTGTATTGTTACGTATCGGCTTGTTTGATAATTTCCCGTAAAAATTCTCTCCAAGAAACTTCAGCGATACAAGTCCTTTCTTAATTAAAACTAGTTTATTCTTTCTCGTTACAAACTTTGTAATACACTTAATTTCCACAGTCACTTTAAACTTAACTACTTTTATAAACACACGCTACAATACACAGCGATTTACACACTTTACTTACGGTGCCTACTGCTCGCTTGACTCGATTATTTGTCTTTATATCTATCTCTTGCTTATATACTCAAAAAAAGAGGGCGTCTAGCAAACGCTGGGACATTCGTGAGGTTGTCCGCTAAGTCACGATCCTTCTAGAAACTCCAACGCGTATGCTTCCAGTGTCACGAGACTTCCACTGTCATAACAGTATATTTCATTTGATGCAATAACAGTCACATATGTCACATCTGCCTTACGGGCTTTTTCTTAAAATTTTTGTCTCCGTTATGTCTGTTTAATCTCCCTTCTTGTGAGCACATGCATTTACAACTCCTGACTAAGCATTATGTTAGTTTCTGCTGCTTTCCTCTCAAGTAATTTGTGTTGGTGTGTCCTTGAAAGACACATTTAAAATTTTTGTTTTGTTTAAACAATACATTAAAGGACAAACAGGAACCTTTTGATCCATCTAAGCTGTCTTATCCACTAAATTAAACTAAACAACCACCTCAAAGCCAACTGTTATTATTCAAATATTTATCAAGCTTTACTTTAAACTCCCTAAAATTAACTGCATCCATCACATTTGAAGGCAACCTGTTTCAAAGACCCACCACCCTGTTAGAAAAATAAAACTGTCTTAGCTAAAGATGACTTTTACCCTGTTAAAATTTATATAAGTATCCCTCTAGTCTTACCATTTTCACTATTAAGTATGAAAAAATGATGATGCTCCAACACTGTTAATTCCCTTAACAATTTTAAACACCTCGGTCAGATCCCCTGTAACTCTTCTTTTTCAAGATAAAAAATGTTTAGAGATTTTAACTTATCCTGATATGATAACATTTTCATCTTTGGTATCATCTTAGTTGCCCTTCTCTGAACCCTTTCCAACAATTCAATGTTCTTTCTGTGGTAAGAAGCCCAAGACTGAATGACCTATACAATGATATTGTAACCTCTTTACACCTATATTCAGTACTGCTGTAGATACAACCTAAAGTCCTATTTGCACTGCCACTAGCAACAGCACTTAAGAGACATGGCTTAAGAGACTGATCAATCAGAACACCAGGATCATTTTCTTCCATTACATTGTTAAGGTTATTCCCATCAAAATTATACTTATAGTTCAAATTGCAATATTCCTAATGCATTACCTTGCATTTATTATAATTGAATGTCATCTGCCATTTATTTTCCCAACTCACCAAATAATCCAAATCCTTTTGTAAGGCAGTAACATCCTCCTCACAGCCAGTAACACCCAAAATTTTAATGTCATTAGCAAATTTCAGTAATCTATTGACCATTCTTTCATTTACATCATTGATGTAAATCAAAAGAGTAAAGGTACTAACACTGAACCTTGAAGTATCCCATTTGGGAAATTACTCCAGTTTGGTTGAACTTCATTTATAACAACCCTCTGTTTTCTTCCATCCAGCCAGTTTTCTATTCAGTAGGCCAGTCTAACCCCCACACTGACAGAGATAACTTTTGTAAGAACATCATTCACTTACGTATGCATAATCTTATCCTCACCTATGTCCTAATTCTTGTAACTTATGTCTAAAACCTTGCCTCTGTTTTAAAGTTAACATACTTACTTGCTTTATAATCACCCTTGATGGTTATATTTTGCATTATGTTAAGATTCTGACCTTTATTAACATAAGGTTATGAGGCAGCCTTATTTTGTCATATGTCCTAATAAACTTTCTACATTGCCAGTAGTCTCTAGTTTTTAGTATGCCAGCTTTCATCATCTCAGTCTAAACTGAAATTTGCACTTATTTGTTTACTGCACTTAGAACATTTTCTTCCTCTTCATCAACTTTACCATTAATTAATAGAAGAGCACATGTAAGACTAATAGAAACACCTGGTTTTATTGGTACTCTCAATACAACTTTTGCAGCAACCACTTGTGCGTTTAAATCTATCTGTAGTGTGGAGGCAACCAACTTTTAGAGTAACTCTCTGATAAGCTAACTACTGATAAAGCTGACTCTTGTGGTGTTGTAACTGTATAAAACATGGAAATCTGTTATAAACCAACCCACTAAATTATGATGAAAGTTTTAGAGAACATTTCAACATGTGCCTATTTGATACATAATAGAACATTTCTGAAAAAGCCCATTTACATGTTTATTTTATGATTACTTTGCACAGGTGATAATGTGATATATCTTTTTACTTCACGATTTGGCTTGTAGCTCCTATGATTCAAGACACAAGTTAATTGCATTTTTATTTTTGCTAAGCTAGAAGACTTTATTTTAACAATGTGCCAAATGTTTGTATCTTTTTTTTTTATCCAGATATGTTGCACATCTGATATACATAATTTATAGCAGCCTAGCTTGTAACTTCCATAATGCAAACAGTAATTTGACTCATGTTCATGTTTAACTTTATTGATGTTCTTTATTTAATTGAATAAAGTTTTCTTCTGCTAACCTGAGGTTCAATATTAATATCCAAATATGTCGAGAGCCAGCACGGACCCTGGGGCAAACATCCTCCACTTCTCTCTCTCTTTTTTAACATTTTCAAGAATTTATTAAAAAGAAGATCCTAAATTATGATAGCAACGAGCTTATAAACCAGACAAAATCATAGCAGCAGCCATTTTTACCTCACAGTATAAGCGTAAAAACGTTAATAAAGTAACAACAAATATCTATTAAATCTATAAAGTAACAAATACATATTACTTATTACTCAAATTAATATTTCAGTCGTTCTTAATGTATCAAGCATCTATATGCAAAGAAAAGTCAAAAACTATGGTTTTTTATCATTAAATGAAGATATAGCCTAAAGATGCTTTGCAGGCTTTACGGCATAACCAGATTTCATTCGCCCGGGCCCCTGGGCAGTTGACCCCTCCCTTTCGGCGGGCCTGTTAATATCACTGGTTTGCACAATGTTTTGATTAGGTAGATTTAGAATGGCAACTACATTTCTTCTTTAAAGTTGGTCTGTCATGTATCATAACTGTTTCTTTTTCTGCTAAATTCACAGTGTCTGCTTTGGCTATCTGATTGAGAAGCTACTAAACTAGGCAAGAGTTAACATTCATTCCATTATTGGCTAATATACATTAGTTAATAACTGAACATTAACATATATGAAAACTTGAATTTGAATTATGTTTATATTACAGGAAAATCAACTTGCAAAAAAAAAAAGAACAGAAAAAAAAGTTTGTATATACTTGTTGTAATTAGGCAATTAAAAGTATGGTTATTTGCTAGCATACTATATTTTGTGGATGAGATAGCATAGTTTAAGTCAGCATATGCTTTCAACAGTATGCACTGGACATGCAATAAAACAAGTGTGTGATATTTTTTGGCTTCTCTTCAAACACCTTATTTTTTTGCCACTTTCTCTAGGTACAAAATGCTGATGCACATGAGATGTCACACCAAAGAGAAGCCACATATTTGTGCATGTGGCAAATGCTTTGCAAGATTAGAAAACTTAAAGATTCATATGCGATGTCATACAGGTAAAGTAATAAATTATGATTTTGGAAATGTAAAATGTATTTTTGGCTTATATCTTTTCTATTTCTATTTAAAAACTAATAATTTTAATAAACAGTTTTATAGTTACGTTCTTTGATCTTTTGCAATTTCTAAGAAATAATCTCAACAAATCTTGTTCTTTTGACAAAAGAACTGAGAATGTATAGTATGGGCTAAAAGTACTGTCCTACTGGACAAAAGACAGAAAATGCAGGTTGTCTGCATGGTTGCTTGTGGGTTCGATGAAAGTGCACTAGTATTTGGATGTTTTATCCCTCAGACTTGCTAATTAGTAATGTGGTTGTGTCCAATATTAGATCAAGAAGGACATGAGCATAGTTAGTGTTAGCAAGTAACATCTTGTACATTGAAGTGACAATTACTATTCCCAATGTGCTGCTGGGTAAGACTTTTACTATCATAACTGCTTTGCAGTAGGCTTAAGTTGAGTATTTAGAGTTTACAGGTTAAAAATATACTTTTGACTTCTTAAGTCAGTCTATTTGTACCACCTACTTTATAACTATTAATATTATTTACAAAATTTTACACACAGCAATATAAAAAGTTGTATATGAAATTCCAATACGGTCTTACCTCCTCCACACAAAGCTATCTCTATCTTCTTTCTGCCCTCTAAGCATTGCTAAAACATGTTCTTGCTCAGTATCGATTTCATGCCATTTTTGAACATTTTCATATAATGTGACTACTCTCCATCTATATTGGCACAGCTAGCTCTCCCTGTTATTCCTGCTCCATCCTCTTTCTCGATTGGCACAGCTTCATTTAGATGTATTTTGTTTTGCATGTGGCTACTGTTTGTGATTGTGTTTATTTGCCATATTAGTTTTTTTTCAACAGCTTTCTTTTACTGTGTTTGCATTAAATTTTTTCAATGATATTTTTTGCATTTGTTTCTTGTTACCATATTATATGAGAACTTCATTTGGATTAGTGATTCAATGTATCGAGTATGGTAGTTCCTGTTACAGCCAACAATGATACTGGTAAGACAACCCAAGAATCAGGTTCAACTTTGTCTGCAGGGGAAATACAAGCCTTAATTTGCAGGGAGCTAGATTCATATGTTCAGCCAGCAATTTATTCTCTTTTTCCAACTAGACAATATTGCTGAGGAAAAATACAATCAAGGAGAAGACAATTTGGACTCTGTTTTTCTGACACCTTTTTATTTTGGTCTGTCACACACTATACTTCTTCAGGAGATTTCATCCTCCACACAATTTTCACAGCTGGTTACTCAGGTCAACACATATTCAGTTTTTTCTATTTGTTCGAGACGAAGATGATTTTGCTAGTTTTCTTTTTCCTATTCCTGTTGACATGCCTCCACATCATTACTTTGTTTATCTCCTCATTGCTTCCAAATCTCCCAATGGATCAATGGTAAGTTTTTCAATTTGTACACTTCGCACCAGGTTGCAATACCTGTAGTAGGCTAGGCTGAAATGCCCTTTGTGTGCCATAGTCCTTCTTTACACACAAGAGAATTATGTATTTTACATCATCCGTGCTCAAACTTTGGTAATTAGATATTTGTGTGTTCTTTGTCATCCAAGTTAATTTGAATTTATTGTAAGTTAGATATTGATTATTACTTTGCTTTCTAGGTAATTTTAGTCAATTTACATCTGCATTATGATTACATACTTTGTACACAACGTATATTTTGATGTTTTGTCAGTTCCATATGAATGAGTACTTTGTCAACTAGGTATGTTTAGATAGTTTTACTCTGCATATCATTCCTATTAGTAACATCTAATTCATTGTTCATTTATTTTTTGCATTGCTACATCACTGATGTGTTTGTTTCTTTTTCATTCATAGGGCTGAGCTTTGCTTTGGCTACATTTCCTATGTTTTTGATACTAGAATCCAAATTTTCTTCTTGTACTATAAAATTCATGGTTTGTCCCCACAGAATTCCCATTATTGATAGTTATATATGGCTGTAAGTCGAGTGTTCCAGTTTAGGGCCCAACTGTTTGGACTAACCTCGGCTCCTTGTGTTTTGTCGGCTGGTAAGAATTTTTGCCGGACATCCTTACTCGAGGGTCTTTGCTCACTTCTTCCCATTCCCAGTCCAGAGTCTACACTTGTCTGCTCCTACAAGAAGCAGCACAGGTGGGGTTCTTAATAAAGGTGGAGAAGTCCATTCTCATCCCCACTCAATATCTTCCTCATTTGGGGTTTTTCTTCAGTTTCAACCTCAGTTGGGCCCAGCCTTTTTCTCTTCATCTTTGGGATATGTAGCTAGCAGTTCACAAAGCCCTCACCTCACAGTCTGTCACAGCTTGAGAGGTTTTATCTCTTTTGGGGATGTAATCTTTCTTGGAAGCACCGTCATTCCCATGATTCAAGCTCATATGCATTTCCTTCAGTAGATACTCCTTGATCAGTGGTATATTTACTCTGATCCTTTGGAACACCCTTTTTACCCATCCTTCCCCAATCAGGTTCAGCCTGGCTTGGTGGCTAGACAGGGACCAGACCATGATGGGGGTTCCACTTCCTTCACCTCTTCTGGACTCACATCTGTTCCCAGACACATCTTTAGAGGATTGGGATGCTTACCTCGACACTCGGGAGATTTCTGTTATCTGGTTAGTCAAGGAGTTTTCTTTCCAGATAAAAATTCTCAAACTTATGGCATTTTATAAAGCTTTGGTTATGGTGCACTCTGACAACTCCACAGTGGTTACTTATATTACCAAACAAGGGATACCAAATCCAGATATCTGTGCTTTCAGACCCTGTATCTCCTTTTCTGGGCCCATAGTTATCACATTGTGGTTATAGATTGCCATGTTCCTGGCACCCTGAATCTGGTTGTGAATCATTTATCTCAACCAAACAAGATTCTCTTCATGGAGTGGTTCCTTAATCCACAAGTTTTTTGGTGGGTTTGTTATCAGCTGCAAACACCTCATATTGATGCTTTCACCACCCTTTTGGTCTCCTGTTCCACACTGTTAGCTCTGGGAGTGGACACATTCAATCAAAATTGGAGGGGTGATCACATATATAATTACCATCCTATACGACTCCTCTTCAGAGTTCTATCTGTAATATAAACCACTCCATGTCTAGTCCTACTTGTGGCTCCATATTGGCCAGTGCAACCATGGTTCCCTCTAGTCCAATCTTTACTTGTACAACCTACCCTACCCTCACCTCTGTCTCGATCTCTCTTCCATCAACCTCAGTCAGACATTGTTTATCCAGTCATCACTACACTCTGTCTTCACACATGGCATTTGTCAGTTCCATTGCCTCAGCCCAGGAATTGGCTTCATGTGTTGCATCTTTCCTTTCCCAATCCATCAGACCTTCTTCCAAAGACAATGGTCCACCTTCTGCTTTTGGTCTATTCAACGTGGCTCTTCTATCCTTCCCACCCATTCATTCATCATTTTTCCCAACTCTTCACCTGTTTGACAAAGGCCTGTCCACTTCAACCATGTCTAGCTGTTGGGCGGCCTTGTCAAACACCTTCCCATTTCTTCAAGTTTTGTAAAGTTTTCTCTTCCCCTGTCATTTTCCTCCTTTTCTGCTCCTTTCAAGTCGTGTCCTCCACGTTCCTTTCATTTGCTTGATTGGGATCTCAATGTGGTCATTTATGCCTTTTCATGTCCTCCCTTTGGAACTTTGAACCTCAATACAGAACTCATTGGACTGGCTGGAACATAACAATCACAGCAGTGGTCGAAACACTATTTACATAAGCCATTTGTTACAACAACAATTGTTATGATGTGAACACCTTTTTTAAGCTGACAAAGCATGATTATAATTATTTATACTTGTCATAGACATTAGTATTAGTCCAATTATATTTTTAGCACTACATTCTTTATCCATAGGGTTTTTCAAAGGATTATTGTTTAATAGTACTTGAACAACACTGTGTATGCCATATCCCTTGCTGATAAAGCATATAGCTCAATACAGAGCTCATCAAGTAGTATGGGACACAACATATACAGTAGTGGTTAGAACCCTACTCATATAAGCCATTTGTTACAACACACTGTTGTTAAAATACCATTATAAACTCTATTGGTCTTTGTGAAAACCAGAAGGGACTGAATAAAGAATGTAGTGTTAGAAAATATAATAGACCAAACACTAATGTCTTGTGACATATTTCATTAATGTAATCATACTTTATCAGCTTAGAACAGGCATCTACACCATAACAGTTGTTTTTTTAACAAATGGCTTGTATAGATAGTGTTCCAACCACTACTGTGTTTGTTGTGCCACAGCTAGCCTGATGAGCTCTGTATTGGGAGAAATGTGTCATCTATATTGGTTACTGCAGACATAGTGTGGTTGAAATAGCTATTATACACTCTTCATCTTGAAAACCCTAAAGGATGGAATAGAGAATATTGTGTTGAAAATTTAATAGGCCTAATACTTATGTTTTATGACAAGTGTAACGAATTAAACATGAGTTAAAATACTGTGTGGACTTCAAAAATAGGCTTCACATAGAAAGAAATATCAGTTGCATCTATTTTACTGACTACTGTTTAATTCTGTAGTCCATCTTGCATGTTTTAGTTTTCATGACTGATTGTATATCATTTGTCTATTTAGTTGTATTTCCGACTGGATGTCTATGTTAACACAACAAAAACATTATATGCCAATGATCCAGGTTTGTAACACAACCAATCCTCATTGAAGATGACATTTATGTCACTAGTAATTGCTTTATTAATCTCATAAACTCCAGTGCTGTGTTATATTTCAATAGGAGATTCATGAAAGGCCCACATCAGCAGCCACTTTGATCATAGTCTGTGACCACTTAGTTCACAGTAAAGGATGCAAGATTTTTGGGCCACATCCATAATCAGTGTAAAATAGATGTGGTCATGTTGTGTTTCAGATACAAAATTATTTGGATGTGCCTGTATGTGATCAAAACCATACTGTACAGATCATTAATCTAATAAAAAAGAATTGTGTTTTAAATCAAATAATTAGGGATAATTATCATACAGGATAATTCATTGAATACTTTTAATTGATAAATTAATAAATAGCAATTTTTTGCAAGTTTAAATAAAATATGTACATTTTTTGAGTAGGAGAAAAACCATACGTATGCCATGTGGAAGGCTGTGGAAAGGCTTACACCAATTCTAGTGATCGATTCAAGCATACACGAACACATTTTGTTAAGAAACCATATGTATGCAAAGCAGAAGGCTGTAACAAGAAATACACAGATCCCAGCTCTCTTCGGAAACATAGAAAATCTTGTGGACACATTCAGAACAACACCGAACAGAATGTGCATAATGAAACCCACAAGTTACAGAAGTATTCTCACAGAAGCTTTTCAAGATTTAAAGGTGATAAACCTTGTGCATTTCTAAATGGATTCCAAGATGTGATTCATGGAGCCAATGAACCTAGGCCTAACTCAGAAAGACCCATTTTGTATAAGCAGCCACTTTTGGAATATTTGGTTTGTTTTGAATCCTGCCAAAGATTGATAGACAAAAATGCTAAGTATTTAAATATCAGTGATAAAGTGTTAGGTATGTGTTCCTCTCATTCAAATGAAGCTTTGCCACTTGACCTTAGAACCACAAATAGTGAAAATATTACTTCTAACATGGAAAATCACCCATAGTCATCATGATCTTGTTGTTTTCCAGTGAGATGAAAAGAAAGATCTCATAATGTTTTTATAAATCATAGACTTTTTTTTAGTAATATAAATATTAAATTAACCTATAAAAAATATACAGCAGTTTTTAATATTGTCAGTTGTAGGATTGATGACAACAGTAAAATATTTTTTTTGGTGAGTTTCTTAGATTCAAAGTACTAGCACTTTAGTTTACACTAAAGTTAACACTTCTAGATTATGATCAACAATAAGAATGATTGTGTGAATTGACACTCAGAAGTCATGCTTGTAGATTTGAGAGGTGGTAAATGTTGTCTTTAACTTACAATACACTTAAGTATGCTATGGCTCTTACACTTTTGGTCAAAAACTCTTCTATCATATGACCCCATATGTCATGAAGAAGTTAAGAAATAGTAGGTAATATAATATTTTGTGTGATTAAAGTTGTATATTTGACACTTATTAGATGCATGTAATTTCAGACAATGGAAAAACATTTATTTCTTGTAACTACGTTGTAACACAGTACCATCAGAAGAGATAAATGTTTTGGATTCTGGTTCTGGGAACAAAACCATGATGATGCAGATATATAGACCAAGAACTCCTGTAATTAAATAATTACAATAATAATTTATATGAAGTATTAATAGTATAAGAAATGAGATTATCAAAAACTGATTACTTGTTTTACAAATAACAGTTCTAATGCTCGTTATAAATACCTGTACAAAAAAAAAGAAAAAAGTGTACAGCTCTTCATGAATGTAAAGTATATATTATACAACCTTCTTTTCTGTTAAGTCTACAGTATGTTATTTGTGCATACTCACGTGAACTTATTTTTTGTAAGTTCTGTATAATTTTAGAATGAAAATTTGTTCTAAGAATAATAATTTTGGGCTTTTTAAATTAAAAAATAAGAAGGATCACTTACATACATAATGTTTTTCTTTTGTTGTTTTTTCACTTTTCTCTCAAGCAGCAATTTTCAAGATTTTCAAATCTGTTTCTTTGGAACCTGTCACACCATAAAGCTTGAAATCTACACCAGTTACCAGTATGATCAGTGCATAGTTGACTTAATAGAGAACTCACTGTTGATACAGTTTATTGTTATCACCACATGTCGATTAGAATAAACAAAATTAATAATAAATGACCCATGAAAATTCACAGGAAATGAGAACTGCACAAAATATTTTTCACATTTTTTTGAATGACTGTTACATTTTTACAGTCACTTTTCAAAGTAATTCTGTATATCTAATCCTGTGACCCCTCCCCCAGAATTTCCTTGTTTTCCCATTAGTAGCAACAGTATGAACATTTTGAAAATCAAAATTTTGATTTTTATTTTGAATGATTCCTTACAGATCCATGTGTTTTCACATGAATTAATTGATCCAATCCTGAGAGTTCTCAAAACCTCACTGATCCCCTCATATAGGAGTTTAAATTTGAAAGTTTACAAAAAATTAATTTAGATTGTTGTTTTTAAGGGCTCTTTATATGTTAATACCAGTTTGAAAATAAACTGTAGTGAAACATGAGAGCCCATAAAAACCTTTGACTCCTCATTTTTGATACTTATTCATGACTCTTTCAACATTTTTTCCTTCATTTGTATTTTGTAGAGATCAGGAGCCTACATGCCATTTTTCAAAGTATTTAGTCAAAAATTGTGGGAGGAGTTCAAAAACCAAGAAAACATAAGTGCAATTTAGAATTACTATATATAGAAGATTATTCTTTTAACAATTTGTATATCCAGTCACCTTGTCTTTGGCTACTCATGTAGCCTGTGACTACAGAGGTTAAGAGCTCTGATCCTCTTGTTGCAATTTAGTTGAAGTATGATGATTTGCATGTGCAGATGGTGGTTAAAATTGACTCTCTCTGAGAGGGTTATGTTCCGTTATTCTCTAGTTATAAAAGCATACCAGGCACTACAGCTATATATCAGCAATGAAGTCATGATGTCATAAGACAGATATTGCAGTATTACATCCACATTTACTTTTCAAATGAAAACAAACTGAGATATTGTTCAATATTTCTTTATTCACAACAAAAATTACAAGAAATACAGATGTGTACGAGTTAGGCTAGCACATGCAACCAAAATGACAATTTGTGTGCAAAATAGTTTTTTTTATTATCATTAAATATTTTAATTATGCTCAGCCTAACATAGTTGTTTGAATTTGTTCACATGGATTATGTCATACTAAGTACATTTCTCTCTTAATTATATTAATGGAATACTAAAGTGCCATATTGCATTTTCTATAGAAATGTTTAAACTAATTATTTGTTTCAAAAATTTAATTTATTAAACTACTCTAATGAGTGTAACCAAAATCAACCTTTCAGCAGTAAGCCTGAAGTCTTATAACAAGAAAAACTGGGTTTTGACACCTGTGGTGGGCAAAGCACAGATATCCCATTTTGTAGTTTTGCACTTAACTACAAACAAACAAGTAACCAAAATCTAATGATCTTATGGAATAATTTAGCACTCTCTACTGTCTTACTTTACATGATTAATGGGCTTAACTAGAATATTCTTGTTTAAGCACATAGTACGAAATTCCCTACCTCACTAAAAACAGAATTACTTGTATATGGTTTAGCAACAACAAGTTTTCCTTCTGGGCTTTTAAGGCTTTACCAAATGTCAAGCAGTAAACCTTTTGTTGTATTTAAAAGAAAGAGTGTCTGTTTTATCTTCAGTTGTGTACTTTCTGGCAAACAATATTATAGAAAATGTGACTTTATTAGCCTTGAATTATTCTGTATCTATATCATGATTAATACAGTTTAAATTTTGTGTACTAATGCATTGAATTGGTACCAAAATATTTGGAAGACTAACTGTCAATATGTGTGTGAGTGGTACATGGCACCTGGAAGTATGTCTTCACATTGGACAAAGCCTGTCAGATTAACTGCTTGTAAAAGTCTAGACAACTTATTATCATCTTGCTGGTGATATAACATTTCAAAAATGGTACAGACACAGCATTCGTGAAAGTTTTCTAAATAGATGTGTTATGATTACAGGTTACAGCTATAATGATAAGTTAAATACCTAAAAATTAAAGAAAAATATCAAGGTGAAATCTGCATATTGTTAGTCTAATGTGCTGACTGTACCACGAGAAAATATAATCTTTTGAAGGACTGATGCAAGTGAGATATAACTACATCAAGACAAAGTATTAAGCCACATATCCAAGACAAGCATGTCAGTTTCTTATTGTAATGCTTTCATGATGTTAGAAAAACATGTAGGTTCAAGAACTCCTGATAGAAATGAATAAAAACCCTATAACCCGAGTGCTTTCGAGAGGTGGACCTTTCTTCATCAGGGACATACTGGGAATCAGTTTGCCCGTGAAGAAGAAAGATCCACCTTTCGAAAGTGTTTGGGTTATAAGGTTTCTATTCATCAGTGTCATGCTTAGTAGCTTTTACAATCACTAACTCTAATTATTAGTTAATAACTGTTTGTTTGTTTTTTGTTGTTATTTAAAAGCCTTACCTTAAGTACTTAATGTCAGTTTTTCATGAAATATAAATACAAATGTAAATTCATACTATACCATTTCTAGACATCACCTTTGGATTTCTGTGCCTTTGAGTTGCTTAAACAGGTTCTTGGAAATAATTTTTCAGGGCATGTTTGATGGACTTTGGAAAGTATGTAAAAATGAGAGGAATAACAATGATATCAGTTTATTGTACTAAAGCTTTATGTAGTGGGTATTGTGGTACATAACAATAGTTCATCACTTAGAACACCATCAGTGGTAGAAAAAGGAACTGTAAGGCATAGTCACTCATCCTCGTATCATTATCATAGACCATGAACACCCCTTTGTAGATAATGATTACTGGGTTTCAGAATGCATGTAAACTCAAATGTTTATCAGGGCAGTGAATATTTTAGTATAATGTTGAGTGTGGTTTGGGCATGATAAAAAGATTATCAAAAAGCTACTTAAACCACACAATCCAATCATTTCAAGTCTGATGGAAATAATAAAATATGTCTATATCTGTATCTCAAAAAATCATCCCACATAACTTGTGATCCAATCTTGTGTAATTTTTTGTCCCATCCATTTTCTTAAACTCAGAGTTTAAAACTTCTGTGAATGTTATTGCTGCTATATATGGGCATGAAAAATGGTGCCTTCTGTAACATCTGTAGAACATGCAATGTCATGTGTGGTTTATTGCTTATTCAAGCCACTTTTGTTCCTGGGGCCACAGTACTAGGTGATCTTGAATTCAATGGTAGGTGATTGTCCAGATTTTTTCATAATGTAGTCTTGCTTAATTTTATCTGTGATATCTCTTCCCTTTGTGGTATGGTGTATTGAGTTTCAATATGTTGCTTGTATGTTCATGTGCCTGATGTTGCTATGCTGGTTGAGCATGCATGGAAAATAAATTACATATAAAGTAACTAAATAACACATTGACCACAATAAAGACTCTTGGAATTACAACTTTTTATTCATGTTTATCACTAGAAGGTTGTACTCTACAGAAATTAGTCCTCCCCCAACTCTTTTAATTTTTTTCTTGAAATATATTTTTTTTTTTACCATATAATGCAGGTCAACAGGTTCAGTTGGCAAAATGTGGTTCCAACATATGATTCATGGGTCATTTGGTATGTTTGGAAATGTCATCATTATGTTACAGGTCAGGAAGAACAACTCTCTTTCTAAAAAAAAAGAGGTTATTCAATAGATGAATCATTTAAAAAAGAATATTTGGCACTCATTTACACTCAAACAACAACCACACTAACAAACAAATCTCTCCTACTCACTTTTAAGTTCTTCTATGCAACACTCTTTGCTTTTCTCCCTCACTATAAGACAAAACCCTATAATGACAGTCCTTCTTCTTCTTCTTAGTTCCTGTCGTTCCTAGTAGAACATAGGGCTACAACAACACTTCGCCGACGGAAGTGTTGTTGCAGTTTCCGTAGCAGATTGTTATCGGGGTGGAGTTGCTAGCCCCACACCCAAGTGGGCATGTTTGGTGCGACAAGGACGCGACCCTTGGATAGCGAGGCGAGTGACTTATCCACCGGGCCCAATGACAGTCCTTGCCACTCACTAATTTCTAGCATACTTGGGAGAATTTTGCTTGTTGAAAGACAGAATTTCTATTAACAAGTTTTATCAAAAACTAGGAAACTAAATAAAAGCAAACAGTTCATTCGTATGGTATTGACATTAGGTTACAAAATATGCATAATTACAAAGATCTGTACATCTTTCCACAGTTTCATATTACCAAGAATATAGCAATTTTTGAACTGGAAAACAAGTAAACATCTATATTTATGTTTTTAACACAATTTTTAAACAATAGTGATTATAACAAACTTGTATATTATTGTTTTAAATATATGAAATGCATTGCATTTAAAAGTTCTAGTTTTAATGTCATTATTTCCAAAAGAGTTCTGTTCTGTTTTACATAACTTCAGGATTTCCATACTGATAAATTCAATGTTGTGATTTGATGGAGAATAACTATGATAATTTATAAATGGTGTATGAGTGATTTAAAGACAGAAAACCAGTTTCTAAACTTATCATATTTCATCATCACAGAGTTAAGTGTGTATATAGAAACATACACATAAATATAAACTCACAATACACATTTTAACTTATGGACTGATTCTCATTTTTTGTTTTTTATTATAGCAATTCTTACAAAGAGTTAATTAAAAAATTTTGTCATTCATTGTAGTATGAGTGCTGATAAGTATTTTTACAAAATCAATTATAACT